ACGTCATGCTCAGCGTATAAAACTGAGGAAGAAGAAGGAGGGGGGACATTCAGAGTGATGGTGTTTGTCTTCCCAAGTAACTGTTGCATGTGATGGAGCCCTGCTTTCCTGGAGATGGCTGAACACCTGCCTGCTGATGGGAAGTGGTGAATGAATTCCTTGTTTTGCTTTGCTTGCGTGCACAGCTTTTGCTTTACCTATTAAACTGTCTTTATCTCAACCCACGAGTTTTCCCTCTTTTACTCTTCTGATTCTCTCCCCCATCCCACCAGGGGGGGAGTGAGCAAACGGCTCTGTGGGGCTCAGTTGCCATCTGGGTTTAAACCACGACAGCATTATCGAATGAACTGTCCGAAGGCTCACCTGACTCCTAACAATCTGGAGGCTCTTTTTGCTGTGAGTAAGGAAGTTTTGCTTACATCCCTTTCAAGTTTTGGTTTTCCTCCATACAAACTAATTTGAAACAGCAACTTGGAAAACCAAGTAATTAACTATGAAGAAGACATATCCTCTGTTAAGCATAGCTGCGACTGAGCGGTTTGTATGACTACAGTCTGGGGTTTTGGTATCTGTTTAGCAGATTATGACCCTGAGATTTCAACTAGTGGAGAGCTGAGAGCTCCTATGCAATCCATTGTGGAAAATACCAGCTTAGCCTTTAAAACCTGCATATAACGTTGCCTCCTCATAAATGACAAAAGAGGACTAATTTAAAGTTACAGAAAAAGAACAGTTTGATATCTAGAAAATAGCTGGCTCTGGGAAGAAGGCTGCAAGAGAAGTAAATACAAGGTTGTTTTCAGGAGAGACTTTTTATACATTTCCTCAAACTGCCTGAAGAATCTGAGACTCCCATTAACACCAGCCCACATTTATCACACATGGTTCACCTCAAAATGATGAAACAGTTTTGCTCAATATTTATGTTTATTAGTTGATTCAAATTCTCACGCTGCATGAAATGCAAATTACAAAACAAATATTTCTTTCATCTTAGCACTTAATTGGCAAGATTCATTCCTGGTAACGTTCCATTAAATACATTAGAATGACAGGAGGAATTATGCTGGCTTCATTTATTTACCTCTTCTTTTATTGGTTGACATAATGATGGTGGCTCAAATGTTAATCATAATTGCCATCTGCTTTCATACGCAGGTTTTCTTTCCATCCTTCTTTACCTATGCTAGATAAAGTATAATTGATACAAAACATGGTGTCTGTCTTGTGAAATCAGCAACCCTTACACGAAGTTGGAATTAAGATTTGGACAGGACCATCCTGCACTTTTCAAGGGAAAAATCAAAAGATACATTGCAAAGTACTTTTAAAAATCATCCAGACCCATTCCTTGTCTCCCAGACTACCCAGTTGTATGGTTTCTTCACATCTTAGAGGTAAATTCATTCACAACAAGGGTAAACAGTTACCTAGCTAGATTAAAGGCAACTCGTTACATATATTTTTTTAGGAAGCTGAGCATGTGTTTAAAACACAGAAGAAAAGTAAACAGTTCACAGTTAGACAAGGAAAGTCCTAGGAGAAGCTTTCAAAACATGAGGACAGAGGCAGATGTTGGAGATCTTTGTGCTGAAGGGGATGCGAATTAATACAACAGCAGCACTGAAGGAGCTTATACACAAACAAATAAACAAAAACCTAAATTATAAAAGATAATAATCTGAAATCCTAAGGTTAGAAATCATGAGGTGGTAAAGGGAACAGGAAGAGTGCTCTTGACCAGTACAATTTAATAAATGTATTTCAAAATGCTGGGCTGCTCGAATCCAACCACATACTTATATTACAATAATGACGCACCACTTCATGCGTAAACTACTAAGGAGGGTTTGGGAAGTGCTTAAAAACACACACACAAAATATTTGAACAACCCTTGTGAGTATTATTGCTCTTGTGATCCCCTAGGGCCATCTCAAACTCTGAAAAAAAAGAACCTCATAATTTAAATATAACTTCTGGTAGAAACGTTGCAGTGTTCTTTGTTTGACGAACAAATCCATAGGCAAATGAGGATTTCTGAGGCTGGACCAGGCACTGTTTATTACACAGAATTTCAGAATATGGGAATATGGGTGGGACACACCTCATCAAACCTTCCCTGTTTGAAAGCTGGGTGTTTCAGTTGAGCCTGTGTCTGTCTCCATAGTCAATGAAAGCAAAATTGTTATGTTTTGAGGGTGATACCAATTCTGGTAAGGTAAGCGTCTGAGACGGGATGAATTGTCTTGCAGAAATTCTTGTCCCTCCCCACTAAGTATTGGGGAAGCCTGACTAATTTCAAGTGACAAGTCACTTGAAATCTTGGCAGTCAAAATATGCAGGTGATGCAAAATATGCAACAATATGCACTCTGCAGGTGATGTCCTGCTAGTTAGTAAAGAAAGAAGAGAAAAAAAAAAAATCTCTTGTTGCAATAACTATTCCTCAGATAATTCCATTGCTTTTCCTGCCACTTACTGAGTAAGCCTGGGAAGGAAGCACTCAAAAATTGTTTCTGTGACATCCTCCAGTGAAACTTTGGTTCAATTCCTTTGTAAGGTGAAGGAGTGGATCTAAGGGCAAATTACACTCCATCGTATGAACAAAAAGAAAGAGAAGATACAGACTGAGTGAATGCAGTGGTGGACAGAAATATGTAATTTCACAAAGAAACTGAGAAATTTGCACCTGCTTCACCACTGTCTTGTGTTATGTCCTCCTTCAGAGCTGTGCAATGTCAATATACAGTGGCTAGTAACTATTAATCTGTTGGCATTTGCAGCCATTCTACATTGCTGAACCTGCGAGATAATTTCTGTGTGCCTTTGCAGATTCCAGGTGAAAAATAAGGAAAAAAATATGGATATCCCTTCAGAGAAAACATTAGCCTTCGGTTTAAACACTGTTTCAGGTACTAAATTACTATGTTTTCTGCTGGTCTTGCCAAGCAGCAAGGAGAATTCAGAGTTTCTAAATCAAAGAGCATTAGACAATGGCCATGATTACCAGAGGTACAGGACCTCTCTCGTGTTTTGTGGCTGTGGGTGGGAAAAGGATCAGAAGGTGTCTTCCACCTCACTGAACATTTCATTGCAAAATGTGTGAGCAGATTAGATTACAGCCTAGATCTAAAGCACTTAAATACAAATATCTGTATGACAGCAGGTTATAGCTCTGATTAAAATCATTACGGGAAGTTAATGAAGGAAGTGCTAAATAAATAGAACCAGTTTAATTCCTCCTGCAATGCCAGGGTGGAATGATACCAGCAATGAAGCTGGTCAATTAAGCTTCAAGATGAAAGAGAACTGGGAGCTGGAATGTGCATATCATGCTATTCAGAGATTTAGGGTGATTTTGCAAACAGCAAGCGAAAACAGTTTCATCACTTTGGGAAGTTATATGTTCTTCAAATTTGGGCTGGTTGGTGATTATGACTTCATGTGTACAGTGTGCCTCAGACCCCCCAGGCAATCTGAAGCATTGTATAAAAGGAGCAGGTACGCAGACCTATTCCATCTCCCGCTCCTGCGTGCTCTCCTCTACATCAGGTAAGTCTGATGCCATTTCTTTTCTTTCTAAATGCCAGAATGCCTTCGCACTGGAGCTTGGAATACTGTTCACTACTATTACATGAGAGTTTTTAGGACTATTTTTTGATTCTCTTTCTTTTTCTCTCCTTTTTTTTTAGTATGTTGGCAAGTTGTGTTACTGGTAGGCTTTAGGAGTCAAGTCCAGGGTTTGAGGCATTTATTTCACTGTAATTCATATTTGGACATTCTTGTACTGTTAGCAGATTGAAAATGTAGGATGGCATAACCTTTAAAATGCAGAATTCTCCTGCACCATTTCAGTTAATGACTGAGTCAGAGAGACAGAGCCATATCCTAAGCTGTTCGATGACCCAGCTGAAGAAAGAGCATTATCTACGTGGGAATTTTATTGCAGAATAATCCTAGGTTGAATTTAGTTTTTATGGATAAGTAAAAACTAAATCCTGCTTATTTTAAACCCTAGCTATTTTCACTAGAGACAATAATAAGGGAAGTAGACCAGTGGTCTGATCCAGTGTGTTTGTCATATGTCTGTCTGTAACTCCAGATCCAGATTAGCTGTTCAGATACACCGAGTTCAATGATTGGATTCTCTGCATTTCAGGGCTACTTTTTGAACAAAATAATATTTCCTCTTTTTTACTGGAAAAAGTGCTAAGCCACAAGCTTTTGTGACCAGACACTTAGCTGAAATGGTAGTTTGCACACTGTATTGTTATCTGATGAAGGAAATCGGCTCTTTACATTTTACCAACCTGCTCCACACTCTATATGAAATTACACTGTATGCAAGAAATATGTGAATAGAAATATTTTATAGGGTATATTTACTTACTACATCGAGTATATGAATCTATCCTCAGGCTCAAATGCTTTGGGGCTTTTACCAGAGGGATTACAGAGATTAAGAAAAATTAGAACTAAAAGGGAATAACTGAAAGTATATTACCCCAAAGAGCTTGAAAAGAAATAGGGCCGAGGAAAGGAGGAGGAAATGTGTGGTTAAAGCAGTGCTGGGTTCTTGACTCCATCCCGTCTCTCCCAAGACAAAACCTGCTTCTGTCCCATTCGGTGTAACGAGGAGGTCAGCTCTGGCGTAGCTCCTGGAGCTCCTGGCTTTCAGCCCACATTCACCAGGGAGCAGTGCTGGTGTTTTAGTAAAAAATGTGCCACCGACACTGTTCCTCTGGGAGGGAACGTGAATTAAAAAAAAAAAAAGCAGCAGCAATTTCAGAAGGCTTAACGGATGTGACAAGTGCAAGGGATTAGTGGATGGGGAAGATCGGAGCAATGCTGATTGACAGGAAAGTTTGTGAACAGCATCATCAATTTTGCTTATGTATCTGGTGATCGTTTTGCCTGTTCCCCAACAACCCAGCACGAAACCTTGACTTGTTGTTCCAGTAGATCTTGTGCTTTGTTTTTACACATTTCTGTGCTCTGTGTTTCAGGATCGCCTTCATCCCTGCGAAGAAATGTCTTGCTACGACCTGTGCCCCACCACCAGCAGCATCGCCTGCCCCCAGCCCATCGCTAACAGCTGTAATGAGCCGTGTGTCCGCCAGTGCCCCGACTCAACGGCCCTCATCCAGCCGCCCCCCGTCGTCGTCACCTTCCCCGGCCCCATCCTCAGCTCCTTCCCCCAGCAAGCCGTGGTGGGCTCCTCCGGAGCCCCCGCCTTTGGGGGCTCCCTGGGGCTGGGGGGCCTCTACGGCGCCGGGAACCTCTATGGTTACGGGGGCTCTCTGGGGTATGGGACCCAGTATGGATACGGGAGTTCAGCCCTCTCCACGCTCGGCAGCGGGTACTGCAGCCCATACTCCTCCCGCCGGTACAGCCGGTTCCTCCGCAGCAGCTGTGGGCCCTGCTAAAGGCAGCAGAGAGGTCTCAGAAGAGCCACACGTGAAGGCCCAAACGCAGAGCTATGAGGATGGGGGTTCAGCGTTCCTGCCGCCCTGCAATGGAGCTACTGCCACTTAGCATTTCTGATCTTTCTTCAGCTTTTTGTTTACCCTTCAGTTTCTAGTTCGTTGTTTGCTATTGTTGCCTGTTCCAGATTTCCCTTTTTTTTTAACCATCGTGGGGCAACCTATTCCATATGGACATCACTCATAATGACAAGCATCTTCATCAGTAGTTGCACGACAGAGAGAAGAAAGTCAGCTGAGGACAGCAATATCTCTGAGCAGGACATTTGTTGGACATTCTCTGAAATTGTCTGGAAACAGATTTTTCATATTCTGTGATATCTCGCTTTGCAAACATAGGCATTTCTTGCTCATTAAAATTTTTTTGCATCACACAGCAACCTTCTGGTTTCCCTTCCTCCCTTCATCCACAGCCTGCCCTGGGTGATATCTTCCCATGGGCAGGACCAAGCTGCTAACTAAGCAGTAGTAGTACAGAACATTTTAGCACAGACTGAATTTACACCGTGTCACAAATGTTGCCGTAATGACACTCCTGAGTAGCAGCTTTCCATCCTTTGAAGATATGAAAAGTTTAAAATAACGTAGTATCTTAACTCCTGTTATTTAAACATGATTTCAGTGGGGCCTTTCCATGAGCATCCAAATAGAGAATTGTGGATTTCCGTGTTGAGCTCAGCATGACCACAAATGCCACCAAGGTTGTGCCCAGCAGACTACTTTCCAAATGTAAACTTGCACCTATAAATTCACAGATGCAATGCTCAATCTACGGCATTGACATTGCTCAGCAATACTTAAACTCCAGACATCCCAAGCAGCTAATACATTGCTCTTATTCCTCCCTGCAGTCATCAGCCTGTCCACCCCAGTAAGAAAGAGGAATAATCCCTGTTCCCTCTAAGAAATAACTGTAGCACAGTAAGTATTAGAAGTAGAGACTCAGTGCTTCTAAGCTTCTGGTAATACAGCTAATTCAAATTGTAATGAAGCTGCCAATAAGGCATGTTCAGTCCTGTGCAAACAAAGAATAAAGCCAATCCCTGCCCTCAAGTGCGTTCAGCGTAAACAGACAAGACAAGCAAAGCATGAGCATCATTGTTCTTCTCCCTTTTTTGCAGATAGGCATCTTTTATACAGAGATTAAAGGCCGTGTTTTCCATACTGATAAAAACATTAGTAAATATTTTCCCCAGGTGACAAAGGAATCGCTTGGCAAAGCCCAGAACTGAATTCCTCTCTCCAATATCCCCATCTAACAATTGACATACGACCTCTGTTTCCAGTTTTCTATTCCACTGGTTAGCTTCAGGATTGCTTTTCACTGTTACTCTCACCTCCTTTAGGAAAAGAGGAAAATAGCAGCAGATAAGGAGCATACCGTGGAATATTCCTGTCTGTCTCTTTGCTCTGGTGTCAGGAACACTGCATATATTGGGACGGGGAGAGTTTCAGTAATGCTAACTTCCATGTTAATATTCAAATTTGCCTGTAATCTGGATCAGTACTCTGACTGCTATGTGTGAGTCAATAATGATGGTGTTTAAAATTGAAAATATCCTTTTTTTTCAAACAGAACTCTGAAAATGAGCTAATCAGTCAAACCGACATGTTTTTATGAACTTCTGCCTATTTTATCTGAAAGACTGTACATGGCATGGCCAGTAGTATACGGGATGTAGGAAATTTAACAGATCATAGAATCATGGAATCATGGAATGGTCTGGGTTGGAAAGAACTTTTAAAGACCATCTAGTCCAACCCCCCTGCCACGGGCAGGGACACCTTTCACTAGATCAGGTTGCTCAAAGCCCCATCCACCCTGACCTTGAACACTTCCAAAAACCAGTGACCTAAGGATTCAAGACATGGCTTATTGTAATTTCTTTTCTAAGTAAAAGGGGACAGTGAGCTAAAAAAGATTCCTTTCTTCAGGTTTCTCTGATAGAGCATTTTATTTAAAACATCTGAAACATTCAAGTTCAAATACTCCAATTGCAAAACGGATAAAAGGTAGACTGCAAGTAGACACTTTGCTAATTCCTCCAGAATCAAACCCTGGAAGGAAGCTGGCATTCAGCAGGGCATATTTCTACTTCTGTTATGTTAAGCCATTGTGCCTGCAAGCTATTTACCAGTGGTGTGAGTCTGAACCACATAAAAAATCATTAGGCTTTAGTAGTGACTAAATATTTAGTGAATCCACCTATTTAAATCAAACATGAAAGGCTTAACTCCCACAGATATGTGTCTTAAACTGTAATTTAGTGCGTGGGCAAGACATATACTTCAGGCTGTGTTTACAACATCTTTCTGAATCAACTTCTGATTGTATCTCATTTACCAATAGTGTTACCTTGTACTAGGATATAAACACATGCTCAGAGCACAAGAGAGAAGAGAGTCTAGTGACCTCTATAGTTCAAGATGAGACAGTGTGATTTCATTTACTGTTGCTTCCTGTTCTTGGTAATTACTTGTTTCACTGACAGGAGGAACAGGAGTCTGAGTTGCTGGTGCTGACCGTCAACAGCCTGGACTTCTCATGTCTGACCAAGAACCACACAAGACCTCGCAGTCAGATGTGGTCCGCATGTTGCAGTGGCCAGCAAACTGTCAAGATCTCAGCACTGCTTCCAGATGATCACAATGAACAGCAGCTGGTGTTCCTCCTCTCTCGTATCTGCATGTGGTGTGACCTGAGATGCGCAGGGTCTGCCAGTGAAATTAGTTCTCTTATCTTCTACTGTGCTCATTTGTGATTACACTTACATGAAAGAGTAATCCAAGTTCAGCCTGCTGTGCATTTGGGAAGTGGCAGATTGCTGATGGTCAGGAGCAGTACAGAAGGCAGTTAAAGAACTGTCTTTTGGTGTTTGCTGTGGTCTATGGTCATAACATGCAAATTTAGGCTGGCAGATGGGAATCAGCAATGCAAATTTTGCAGTTCCTGCTCTCCAAGGGACAGTCTCTGCAGGTGACTTTACCAAATCATGATGTTGTGGAGTGCTATGTCTTCAAGCACATTCAAAGTCAGTAGAGTCCATCGATCAATTAATACATACTACAGTGATCTACTTATAGTCTGGGCTCTAACTTCTGGCTCCCACGTGTGCCTTTCTGTAGCACAACAAGTACGTAGGCAGAGCAGCTTCATCCAGGTAGGCTGACAACACCCACACTGAAGGATGCCTCTCTGTGCCCTTTCACCGCAGCATGAGAAACTGGCTGCTATTGCAAGTCCAGTGCAGAAGGGCAGCAAGATGGGCTGAGAAGAGGATCGATGTAATTCTACCATTCTATGTGGGATGAAAACAAAAATCTTGAAAAGAAGACTTCTGTAGTGATCAGCACCATAGTGATGTGTCTTGGAAATACCTGATCCGGTTGCTTTAGTGCGCTGCATACCTGCACAAATAAGTACTGGTTTTTTGACAGCATCCTAGTGACTCCAAGAATAATCATGCAGTGCATCGGAGACAGAGGAAGCATGAAAACAAGACAAAGCCTTCAGACGCATCCTAACAAGAAAGAGGTGTTGCCTGGCCACCTCATTGTAACCTCCTCTCATTTCAGCTAGTTTTACAAGTGAAGTCACACCTCCAAACCTTTGAAGTTATTAGCACATACTTGATCCTGTCCGAACAAATTTCTGCAGCGTGAGACTGGGGTTTGCCTGGACCTCCTCTCATTTCAGCTAGTTTTACAAGTGAAGTCACATCTCCAAACCCTTTGAAGTTATTAACACATACTTGATCCTGTCCAAACAAATTTCTGCAGCGTGAGACTGGGGTTTGCCTGGAATTAGCCTGCTCAAGTATTGTGAAGTTTGGCAGTGCATTGCAGATATTCCTAGGAACAGCAGCTTCACACAGGGAAGAGCAGAAGTGCTGAGCAGTGTCTGATGTCTGGGCCATCAGAGTCCTGGTTTGCACTGCAAGCATAGAACAGGGTGAATGCCTCTTAATAGCTGTACTAATTGTATGCAAAACGCATCACTAGAAAAACAGCTCTACAGGACACACTGAGCAGCCTGGAACCATGTTGCTGTGGAACAAAGAGAGGTGCTGAACATGCCCAGTATCCACGGTCATCTGTGAGTAGCCTGAAATTTAGGTGTAAAGTTCCTGAGATGGAAAATATTATTTGGCCTGAATGATATGTGTTGCTCTGCAGGGAAGACTTAAGAATTATTCTTTTATTTATTTTAACTGGGGCTGCCAAGAATATAGAGGTATTAACGGGAAAGTTCAAAGAATTTGCAGGATCTCAGCAAAGATTTGCCATTCAGTTAAAAATTCCTGTTGGCTATTCAAAGGAAACTTCTACCCACAGATCGTTACATGCTCTTTTTAAACAATGAAAAATATCATAAAACCAATGTATGGGGATGTAATTAAATTGGAGCCTCAAGCAAGTAGTGAGACACAGGGAAGATCTTCAAAGTGACTCGTGTGTTTAACTTTCTTTGCTGGCATGTAGCAAATACACACTGTAACCACGCCTGTCCTGGAGGAAATTTCAAACTTGGTTGTAGGGGTTACAAAACATGTTTATCTAGCATGAAACTACTTTGTGCAGAAGGCAGTCATTATGCTTGCTCCTGCTTAAAGGACCTGGTCACCTGCCAGCTTTAGGCATCGAAAGAAAGCAAACACTGTCACGTTTCACTACAGAGATTGCTGCTCACCCAGAATGGTATATAAACAAAAAATGGTGGACAAAAAAGACAAGAATTATCTGATGCACAATAATTTAATGAGAAAGTAAGAAGTAAAAGATCTTATTGAGAATGAAAAACACAGGGAAAATATTGCCAGGGTTTCATTAAAGGCTGCAAGCAAAGAATTGCTCCAGGGCTATGCATTCCACATATATTACTTTTTCTTTTTCATGGCATGGGAAGACTTACAACCTCATCCCACTTTCAACCAGCCAAAGATCATTGATATAGCTAATTCAAGGCCTTTATTATCATGAGCCACTGGAAAGAATAGTCAGAAAACTAAATTAAATTGTTAGCTTGAGAATTACGTGTAAGTGTGATTTCAGTTCACGCTCCGGGAAAGCAATGCCAGTAACAGGATTTGTGGAGGCACGTCTTCCTCCATGTTGGGTGATTGCTCCTTATTCACAGCACATTTAACATGGTCTGCAGCTCCCAAAACCATAACCACTGGATCCATAGGAAGAATATGACCTCCCATAATTGTACAAGCTCCTAGAGCCACTGGGACCCAGAGAGCTCATGGATCCAAACAAGCTCCCAATGCCGGATGGTGCTGAGCTGCCCACTATGCTCTCCTGAGGGCAGGAGCTGAGAATAGGTCCTGGAAAGGTCATGACCACGGGTGGTGGGTAGATCACAGCTCTCGAATCACCACAGGATGTAACGCAGGGCTGGCTCCAGGCATCTGCAATCGGTTGCGGGCAGGTCACTTCGCAGGGCGCAAGGCAGCGGGAGCTGATCATCTGTCTGTAGGAAGACATCTTCTGGGAATGGAGAGAAATCTGAAACACACAACACCAAGGCAACACAAGGCTGAAAGCTCAGACACGAATATAATGGAGATTGTGCTTGGAAGAGAAAGAATAAGAGAGAGCAAGAAGACCAGAAGGAGAATGAAGTTTTCAGTTTTCTCTCAGCAGCCATGTCCCTTTTCTCATATTCTCATGCCCTCCTCCCCTCCCTTGGAACAATCTCAATTTCTTTTGGCTCCTAATTATAGAGCCAACTTGATACATAAAAACATCATTAACAATCAAAGAAATTGTGCATTTGAACTTGAGCTCTCCCTCTATCCTTTACCATTTCTCCTTTCCACCATGCCTTTTTGAAGCTGACTTACTGTGACACTTGATCAATTCTTTTATAAATAACTGCAGAAAAGAACAGAAACACTGGCCAGCACCTATATAGTAACATCCTGTGCTGGTTCTGCACCATCTGTAATCATTACAACTGTATGTGGCAAGTCATTGTTATTCCAGCTTTAAGGAAGAGGTAACTGAGGCTGAGAAGTGAATGCATTGCCCAGAGCTATTTGGTGAGGTAACAGGAGAGACGGAGTTAAAACTGAGGCAAGCCTGGTTGTTAATGACAGTGTTATTCCCCAATCCTTCAGATGCTACAGCTGGCACCAGGGCTCCCCTGCGTGTTCTCTACAAAGATAAAATGAGCAGCAGCCACATCCCTGAAGAGCTCATAGAGTTTGCTTGGCAGAATATCCCACATTTGGGTGGGAATGCGGTATCAGTGAGGTTTCCAGTATAACTAGGACTCCTGTGAATGTGGTCCCAGCTGACCTGCTAAAGATGACCAAGGTGACAGATGACTGACAGAACTAGGAACTGTAGATAGTTTTGTGGAGTCCATTTCTTTAATCATAAGATCATTTGATCACTCATAAAATCAATTTGCAGCTCCTCTTGATCTCTGCCCTGCCTTACTAAGACCCATAAAATGTAAGGCTGTGAGTAAAGAAAAGGAATAAAGTCCTGACCATAACAAGTACATAATGTAACACATGACAGGCTTCAAACTAATTCAGAAATAATTGCAAAGAACAGGACAAAAGATTCTTTCTAATGGTGGCTTCCTAGTTCAGTCTGAGACTCAGAGTTAACTTTTCTTGGTAGTCACCATTACAAGTCAATGCGAACAAAGTAAGGCAGATTCATAAAGGCAGGATGGTCAGGCTGGAAGAAATAGGAATTCACTAAATCTCACAATAAATAAGTTTGCATATTAAACTTTCAACTGCTCTGAAAACTCTTTTCCTGCCCATTTAGAGCCTGCCACTGAATAAGTAGGAAACAGCTCTTTCTGAAAGAAAGCTTCAAACATTTCACACATTTTTAAGAATCACAGTTTTGTTTCAGTTAAAATGCTGCATTGTTACAATAACATATTGACAGCAATAGCATCAGGCTCAGACTTACCCCCTCACAGCAAAGAGCAAGTCAGGAGAAATGGTTAGAGCAACCCAGAACTGTGAGTGCTTTTATGCCTTTTCTTAAGCAATCAGGAGGATATGAAACATTCTTCATGTATGATGTCCTAACGCATTATCAAACAAAAATTCACTCCACCTGTAACTGCCCCAGATAACGCAATTATTTTGCTCAACAATGGTGATTACTATTATGTTTTTGTCATTACTCTGACAGAGTAATTTTTTTTTTCTTTTGTTGCTTTTTCCTATTTCTCTGATTGCCTCATGGAGCAAAGATTGCTCAGAAGTTTGTCCATAAACACAATATGGTGACATACCTGAGATACTACCCCACTTTTCCAAGTCATGCTCCAGTAAGGGGGCATTGTGCAATTTATCCATCATACCCGTGCACATTAATTCCTGTGACTCTGATATGAGGCACATTAGATCTGAGTTATAGGTTTGGAAATGGGAAGCGTTTGTTCCCATCCTCCTGGCCAAGAAACAAACACAAAGCACATGTCCCACTTCAAGCTTTAAAAGTACAGGTGGAGTAACCTATAAGCAGGGAGCTGCTGTTATCCAGTCCTGGCATGGCAGACAGGAGCCTCAGATAATGAGAAATTCATGTTTAGCTTTCATTGTCAGGGAGTCCATGGGATCATTGCTGAAGACCTCAGGGCTCCTGAGTGATGAACGATTCATGGTTTGAGGTGAAACAGGTGAGGGAGTGAAGCCATGCATCACCCTAGGAAAACCTTGGGCTGGAATCTTAAAGTGCCGTTTCACCTGATGCAGAAGATTGGCTGCTTACTTCAGCAGATTTCTTCCTCAGATCCAGTACCGTGTCTTCAGTTCTTCAGTTATTTCCTGATAAAACTATTTCCAATAGTGTCTATCCATTTTGTGTACCCAAGTTGACATAATTTACAAACACTTCTTTAACCTCAAGAAGATGAGTTCTTCCCCTCTAAAATCCAGCCCCTTCTACAGAATTTAAAGTTGAATGTCTGGTTTTGAGTAACCTCGAGACTTCTGTTCTAAAATGTTAATTTTATTCCAATTTGTCCACTGTTACCAATACTGCAGTGTAATGCTGTACCGGTGATCCATGCAAGAAGGCTGAGGAAGCCCCTTTTCCGGGGCCGCCTTGGGTTTTCCTTCAGTATTGTTTCCTAGCAATACCTGCGGAGACAGGCCCTTTAAAGTTACTGATATTTTATGGTAGAGGATTCACATAAGGAAGAAACAGGAACAGAAACAAGGGGAGAAGATGTTGTGGGGAAACAACCCACCTGGTCTGCTCCTCCTGCCCGAACCACACCTGGTTTCACTTTGTCTGGAAGCAGGTGATGGCAGTGATGACATATACCTATAGATACCTGCCGATGAATCACATAATTCTTGGAGATGCGTCCCTCTTCTAATCATCCTGCCCTCCTGATAGGGCAAAGGGAGCTACATAGTAGTACCAATACTGCTGACACCCCAAACTGTTTCTTTTGACTCATGATGTTCAGGGTTACAGCCACATGCTTTGCTTTTGTAATTTTATGGACCCACCAAGTGGCTGCCAGATGCCATCTTAATGTTTTTTCCCATATAATGGAAGTTTCATGTACTTTACTGACTTAAACCATTCACAGCCATTTTTGCCAGTGCAAATATGGTACAGTAAAATATTCAGAGACAAATAGCTCCATGAAAAGCAAAGTGAGTGTGACGTATGGACTACCTTTGCACAGATTCCTCATATGACAGTACTGCTGTGGCACATATGGACTCATTGTATGTGAACAACCATCAAACCCATTTACTAAATTAGCACAAATATTCTTACCTATACCAAGCACATAATTTTAATGTAACACCACCAAAAAAGACATTCAAATGTATCTGCAAAAACTTCCATGAATTGATTTTAGATTATTTTACAAGTGTGACTAAAACCCCTTCCTGGCTAGCTTGGATGAACATCACAATCAAGAATAGCAAAGGGACATCCTTAGTGTCAGTTTGCAATTGAAATCCAAACTCTGCTCAGGATGCCCAGGTATTTCTGGGCAATTCTTCCAAGCCCACGGTGGATGGTTTTGGAGTCATCCATCCAAGAGTGCATCTCATACAGTGTGGGTGGAATTTGTCTCATCTGGTAACGTAGCACACCCAGGTTGTACTGGCATGTCTACTACACCCTAGGAGGAGTCACATAACAGCACACGAGTGGATGAGCCATCTGAGAGAAGGAGAATGCAATGAAAAAGGAGTAACTGCCAACAAGGAGAGGTTGAGTAGCACTTTCTGTTTGAGGAACAGTATTTCTAAGTTCTTAAAAAAAAAATATTTATGCCTTGGTGTGTCTATACTTCAAGCCAAAAAGCATGACAGCTGTTGATGTGGACACATTAAACTCTGTTGCTGGAATGGCCACAAAACCTAGCTGGGACCATAAAATAAATATTCATAGGGATAACGCAATACTCAGCACTGCGCTCTTGTGGCTTAGCTGAGAGTGTGACTCAAGCTGAGTAAATCAGAGTTATCTCAGACACCTCTAGACGAGGTGAATTCATGTCTCTGAGCTGAAGTGTTGGCATACCCTCCTCAACTTGTCTTGAAAATTATGGTGCCGTTTCCAGCTCAGAATTAGTGATGCATATCTGGGACCTCCTGAGATAGAATTGTTGTCAAGATGAAAGTGTCTTTTGGGGGGGGG